CTGACCTATATTTTTCTGCCTTAAGCATATGCCAAGGGGGCTATAAGGGATTTTTTTTAATATTACAAAAGCTTCATATGGGTGCTAAACTCATATTGGACTGTCCACAGTCTGTATAGGATTAATATAACACCTGCACTCAAGTAATAATCATGTCTGAAAAATTTTGTATTGAAAATCAGCTGATTGTTTCTCAACACTGAAAAATCCAAGTTTAGGAGTCTTAGGGAGATATTATTCATTCAATCGTCCATTTTCTGTCTTAATCCTTTTCCTTCCATGAGGCAGTTCTTTCCTTGATATGATATGTGGATTCATCATTGAAGATCAGCATATCAACAAAGTGAAGTAATGTGAAACCTGGCTAATTTTCCAAGAAATTATTTTGACTTCCCTATATGGATGAAAAGAATACAAAGAACATCCCCATAGCCTACATATAATTCTTGCTCTTTACTATTGTGGTTCTGCAATCACAGGAACATTTAAATATCGGAAAGCTGGCACATGATTGTTAGTCTCCAGGGCAATGGAAACAAAAATGACCCAACCTATTACAATGTCAGCCTTATCTACTCAGTAGAAAAGGGAAAAAAAGATTTGAATGATCTTTTCATCACATGCTGTCCAGAACATAAATGTATGTATTTACAGTATATATTTCTAAAATACATTGCTCATTTTTTCACTATAAATATAAATATAAAACCAGGAGCACAATAGAATTAAAACTACTAGAGTATAAGATCTTAAAATAGCAAGAGTAACAAGACACATTAACAACAGATTCATCTAAAAACCTGAATAAGGCAACGCATTTTTAGCTGACAAAAAAAGCTGAAAGACCCCTGAATCTGAACTGAAGGCCAGTTCATGTTCTTCTCAAGTAGCTGCACAGAAAACTCCTGCCAAATACAGATTAACAAGACCATGTCACCCCTAAACCTTAAAACTCAGGTTGACATATTAGCGAGACATTAACATATTGTATATTAATCACCTAAAATTTTACCTGATGTTATGCATTACCACAAGCATCTTAAACTTGGCTTCATCACAATTGACATTCTATGTAGCGCCTTCTGAACTGAAACAGTCTTAATGGATTGTTCCCCTCCTTCAACAACCTACCCCTGGCATTGTAACTTTCAAGGCAATTTCAAAGACAAACACACATTACATAATTAAGAGCTAGATTGTGAGATTGTTTTGGGTAACAGTTAAAGGAACTGGGCTAGAAACCAAAAGACTGAGTTCTGCCTTCAGCACAAAGCCAGCTGGGTCATGTTAGGCCAATCATTCTCTCTTAGCCATAAGAAGATGACAAGGGAAGACCATGTCTAAAAAAAGTTGCCCATGGACTACCAGGAGACAAGACTGAGCTGAAGTATTCAATCGGTAAGTGATTTCAGGAAACGTAATTATTGATATTATAAAAGAAAAAGATATAGTCACATCATGGAGTAAGAACACCAGGAATGTGTGCCATTCCATTGAAAATTGTGGGTCTCTTCTCTAAAGCATGGGAACTTTTGTGCCACAATAAAAGGGAATTTAAGACCACATTACAGAGATGATTAGAAATTAGTGAAGGCTGCAATCTATTCTTTTATGAGGTAGACTAACTCAATAGCTCTAATTCTCAGTTTACATTCTAAAGTGTATTTCCCAAGGATGTAGGCTCTATTGGATTACTTTCAAATTAATACACAACACATTATAATGCCTTTACATATGGAAGGAGAGAAGATAGATGGATAACTATGTAATATTTCTGATTTGGAATGTATAGATGTTACTATACTCTTCGAGTATGGCACTTTTACATAAATTTTATTATGTGTACAGTTGTGTCCATAATATGAAATTGCTGTGTAAACTGATACTATGTCATAGTGGAGAAAGTTCTAGTGCTGGACAAAATTGTTATTTGTTTTATTCCCTAATGAATTCTGAAAGAAAAAAAATTGTCTTTCACTATCATTTTAAATACTGTGTAATATATATACTTTCTTAAGGCTAATATTTCATTTATAACTTCTCAGCAGCAATGCATTTTAGTTCAATGGTGGCTTAGGAAAAGGTTTTCAGCAATCAGTTTATAAGACCTTTTTGACCAAGATTGTTTTTCAAGAAAACAAGGGAATACTGTGAAGATTTACTTCCTCAAAAATAAACCAAGTAAGGTTGTAAATCTTTTTCTCATCTTTTTCCAAATGTATTGAAAGTCATTATTCGGCAATTTTTTCTATATTGCCTAATAAAATCTCCTGAAAACGATAGGTTAATCTATTCAATAACAGAATTCTCTTTAAACATCAAACTTTCTGTTCCAATTTTCATTGTACTAACATTTTAAAATATGTTTATTTAAGTTTGCATCCACAAATTTGCAATAATTATCTTGTCTTAGGCATTTCTAGACATTACGCATTAGCTTAACTTGTCTTGGTTTGGTACTATTATCCTTTACTGCTTAATTTGGACACCTCCACAAGAGGCTTTGCAGTGCTTTAAAGCCAGCTCTAGACTTGTACATTTGTATCATATCTCTTACATGGAGAGCTAAGGTAGTCTTTTTTTTCCTGGATCTGTATTGGTTTATCTGAAACAAAATCAAAGTTCATTTCTTTGAAACAACACTATAGGGCTTGATGGAAATTGTGGATGATTTCTTTTCTGGTACCCAAAAGTCTTGTCTCACTCTATCTCTTGCATTGATTTTTTGTCCTCACCCCTAAAGTTTACTTCCTAGTCCTGGAGTATTCATATCCCCTTCTCTTCCAATCCAGCCACTGCATTATGGCTGCAGCAATTGGGGAAAAAATACTGGTTGTAAAAGATGCCAATATGTTCTTAATCTGCTGCCATGGTTTACAATGGATTTTATATTGTACAGTGAAGTAATGATGGCTTAACACCTTTATACTAATTATTCAGATTCTTCACCAAAGTCAGAGAAATATAGACAATGTAACTTGTGTACTAAAAATGGGAAGGAGAGAGAAAATCCAGTTTATTCCATCTCCTTGCTTTCTGTGTAGTATAGAGATGAGCATTTTTTCTACTCCAGTCAGATAATGTAATAGTATGTGGGAATGACCTTGATAGTATGTGGGAATGACCTTGGAAGACAGAAGGAAGACCCACAGTCCAGACAATGGTAACAAAATCTAAGTTCAAAGGAGGAAGGTCGCAAAAGTGCCTGAGAATGGAGCTTTCCTAGTTTTTGGAAGAATAGAATGAGGATGGAAGGGATACTTTCAGACTTGCAAGATTAAATCGTAACTTTACAATAAAGATGTAACTAGCACTCCTGGGTGTATTTCTTGTCTGGACTACCTCACAAGGCTGACAGATAAACTATTGAATTACATTTTTATTCTTTCCTATTAGTGGACTGGATTAGATTAGATCATGGTGCTTTCAGCCCTCCAGATAAAAGTGAAAACAGAAGGAAGAAGTGAAGATAGGCTGGCCCCTAGCTGCTTTGAAAGTTTGGGGAAGCAGGGAGATGGAAGTGGTTGGAAGGTTCTTAAATAATTTCCCTACTAGCAGTTTGATTATCTTTGTTCCTTTATCATCTATCATCAAAAATGGACAGAAGTGTGTAACAAAGTATTTTGAAAGTTATCATCAGTGTTTAATGTTGATGATCAGACACTGGACATTCATTTAACAGGTCTTCCATAAATATTTCTTTTGAGAAAGGTGTTTATATTCTACTACAAATGTTTTTCTTCTGAATTTAATTTATATTAACATATGAAACCACAAAATAAAAAAAAAGAATGCATCTGTATCGATATTGAATATAATAGCATTTTTATCCAGTAAACCCACAATATGAGGACTATTCATTTAATGTAAGTGTGCAGCCCATTAGTCTCAGAATACAATAAAAGATTTTATTGCCAAAAAGCTGTCTGATAAGAGTTCAAGGAAGTGTAATAGTTGTCCAGAATACAAGATGTCAAGGGTGTTGTTTTTACCATCACATCAATACTCCATGACCATGCGGAGGTCACATTTTCCAAGGATAATCAATGGGAAGCTAAGTAGCATCTTCTCCCCCTCATTATGATCATTTTTCAACCTTTTTCTGGATGGAACCTATAAGTACCCAGACTCTGTAATAATATCAATTCTTTTGCATAGAGACTTTTGTATAGGAGAAACCTCACATGCAACAAAATCAAACAAAGAAAGAATCAAATACCAGGATGAAAATACCAACAAGACTGTTTAATGTAAAACCACTTAGCTTTACATTAAACAGTCTTGCTTGTATTTTCATCCTGGTGTTCGATTCTTTCTTTGTTTTTCTATATATAATTCAGCGCCAAACTGTGGAATCTTTGGTGCTTTTTGATGTGTATACATGATGCTATGAAGTTAAGTAATAAAATGTCTGCAAGCAAAGAATTAATCTCAGAATACACCATACCTGCCTTTTCTCCAATTACTAAACATAATGAGGTGGAGCTGCATTAATACCTAACTATACTTATAAGACATAAATTTATAAAATTGCCATTTTAACTGAAGGTCTATAATTAAAAATCAAGTAACCATGCTTTATGACACTTGTTTTTTTACACTTTAATAATGGATTCATGCAGCAGGCTTTTGAATCTTGGACCCACAATAGGTCTGTCGTCTCCAGTGGTGGGATTCAAATATGTGAACAACTGGTTCTCTGTGTGGATACTGCTTCCTGAAGTCCATTCTGGGCCTGAGCAACAAAAAATTAGCTACTGGTTCTGCCGAACTGGTGCAAACTGGCTGAATTCCACCACTAGGATTTCATGTTCTAATGAAGTAAACCTGCAAGCACTGTTACTTGCATGCCCCTAGCAAAGCAGAAAACCGGTGGCCCTCCAGATACTGTTTTAATGACATATCCCATCTTCCCTGACTAATGTAGCTACTGGGAAGATCTCAGGTCCTCAACCTCTTGTGGGGAATTCCCCACAGTGGTGTATGGTTCGTGTGGATGCAATTCCGGGTCAGGAAAACATAACTTTTGGACGAGGGAGGGCGAAGGGAAATAAAACGGCTCCCCCTCACAAATCAATTGAACACTTCTTTCAGATAAAAGAAAAGGGGGCAAAGGCTCTCCGTGACGCATCTGGGAGAAACCCAGCCGGAGACGCCGAGAGAAAAAGGCTTATCCAGGTCAGACAGACGCGATGACGACAATCCACATCCAGAAGGATCACGTGCCGGGCTGCCCATGCGCCGCGTCTTTCGCATCCCCAGCGCCCCCTGGAGACTCCCGCGCAACATCGCGCCTACCAGCTCCGCTCTTTGCAAGCAGCTGTTGCTCCGCCAGGAAGGGGGTGTCACCCCGGAAAATCCCTCGCCGCCCGAAGTGGAAATCCCCACCACGGAACTTTGAAGGGGGGGGGGGGAGAGATGTCGTGTTCCTCCTAGTCGAACGGAAGAAAAAACAGATAGTCCGGTCCGACCAACCCAGAATCTCTTTGCAACTCTTGGCAAGCCGGTAGCAGAGAGAGCAAGAGGAGGAGTCGAGTTGTTGAGCGAGGGAAGAAGTCCTTCATCCTAAGGACGGGATTGGGATTCATGGCTCCCCAAGTTGCATCGCCCAACGTCTGACTCGTTAACATTGAAGAGGATTAGTAGCAGACTGCAGGGTCTTTCCTCCGAGCCGGTCCGGGTAAGTCCTATGTCCGGTTCCGATTCTGCGGAACTGCTTCGCTCAGATGGTCGGAGAGGAACAGAGGGATGGCTGGATGCCTCCGGCCTGTGGGCTGCACAATAGGGCTGCTTAAATGGGTGCTGGAGTTGGGAGATTCACCCTCCTATCTGCTTTCCTACCAATTTCTACCAAGAATGGGTCGCTTTGGAGACAATGAAATTTAGCATTATGGGGCAGTCCTAAGTATAAACGAAGAAGCGGTTTCTCTCCAAGCTTTATTGTTTAATATAGAAATGTTTGGATTTTGAAAAAGCTACGAAGGCGATCAAAGTATTTATTTATCTTTCCTGTACATCAAGAGTTGCAGGGTGTGTTGGGATCTCTTGGGCCTTATTTCATTCAGCTCTTGGAGGTCTTAGTGTTAGCTGTACTTTGTTGTAGGAAGGGTGGCTAATATTTTTTCCAAAGAAATAAATAAACTACTTAGAACATAATGCCCAGGGAATTCAAGGCAATTTTCTTCCAAGAAATAAAAATTTAGCCTAATATAATAATCACACAGTTGAGGAACTGAACTGTAAACAAAGCTAGACCAGGCTTGCTGAAGACAGGTGCTTAATCAAGCAGGGAAACTCAGATGTATTTATTTTATAGAAAAGGTAAATATAGTTGATGCAAACTCCTCCCTACTTAAAAATATCTGTAAGTATTATCACATCAACTCTTCTAATTTGGCTTAATCCATAAAGCAATGTCATATACAAAGTGAATTGCTCTTTGACCTAGGCAAAGCAAAACTTATAGGCTGAGAGAAACTTTCATTAGTTTATAAATAATAGAAGTTGGGTATAGTACTGAAGATTGAACTCTGGTACAAATAAACCTTTGCAGCAAGAACTACAAATGTACAAGTTATACTTGTTCGTTCTATAAAGTTACATAAGAGTATGACAGTTCTTAAAAGTGGTTATGAAACAAGTATTCTCTATTTTTAAGAGAGTGCATTTTTTAAAAGAATGCATGCTATATATGTGGCTATTACAAAGCGTGATATAATATGCAGGTATATCTTTTAATGATAATTTTATTATATTACACTACAAAAATGGATAAATGTGCCACTGGTGCAAAAAAATAAAAGAATCAATAAGATATAATCCTATTTATAGGAAAGGAAGCTACACTGAAGTGAAGGAATTTTATTAGTTATTCCATAAAACCTTTCAAAAGATTTTATAGTGAGGCACCTCCAAATTTTAACTAAAATTCAGATTCCTTGTTAGCTCTTTGTATAATTATTGATTTAGGATAATTTGCTGCCAGAGACAAAACAGCAAATATAATACTCATTTTATGTAAAGTTTCATTGACACAAATAATTGTCTTTTTTTTAATGAATAATAGTAATACAATAATAATATTAAAATTTTTCTAATGCCATTTCAGCTATTTAAGGTGGTTTATGCGCTCTGCCTAATAACAGTAATGCTAATGAGACTGTAGAAGTTTTATGAATAAGTCTTCAAACTATGGATATATAGGCCCACAGAAGTAAAACAGTTTTAGTCCGTGTCTGGGTTTGAAGTACAGGCTGTAATATTTTCCTAAATTAGATTTGGGGAAAAAAACAACCTTTTTTAGGTAAATACTGGGCTATCTTCATCACTGTCAGATCAAATAACTGAATTATGCTCCATGGAACGTAGGTAATTTCCTTATAGTTAGTTAAAAAAAATTATAAATGTACTTTTAACAGGGATCTTGCCTAGCCCTATCTGGAAATTTCAAAGATTGAAATATCATCTAGGTCTACTAAAACTGAATTGCAAAAATTCCAGGTAACCAGTAAATAGGAGCAAAGAGATACAGAAATGTAATTTGCCCAAATATTTGTAGCCCGGGTCTGGGTAGTCCTAGCATCCCAATTCTAAGAGTACCTCAGCCTAGCAGGTTGGGTTTGGTGGTCCCAACTGGCCATTTTAGCAATACATATTTGTTCATTTTCTAGTTTCTTTCCTATATATGAGAGACAGGAAAGATATCTTAGAAACAAGCCTGAAAGTTAGCCATAGAGAAATGTACAGAGAAACTTCTTATTTATCTGTAAACATTTTCGGTGCCACTTTACTTCAGACTGTAATCCTAAACCCTTTACCTGGAAATGTCTCAATAACTTCACAGAAAATTATTTCTAGATATATATATGATAGGGAAACATAGTCAAATGCTTACTGTTTAAAAGGCGAGCCTCATCATGCAGATGCTTAGGGGTGGCATCTGATGACATAGACAGTAGAATCAAGAATTTGTAGTGAGAATGTTAATTGTAGACAATTGAGACAATCCAATAAATGCACTTTATTCATTCAGTTTTTTACCAGCAATAATCAGGAAACTCTCAATAGGTTGAGGTTTGAGAATATTTTCCAAAATGTGGAATAGAATTGACTGGTAAGAATGCAAAAAGCCATAATTGTGTATTAGACTTTAGTAAAAGTATTAGAAACTCAGAAGACTTGCACATGCCAAGTAGTATAACCAAATCATATTCAGCTCTGTTTAGTTTCATCAGTCTATTTTTATATCATGCCATGATCAGTCACTTCCTTTTAAAGTAAAATTCATTGAGTTTTTTTGGAACTAACTCCTTAGTGGACATGACAAGGTTCATGATGTGTTCTGATTTGATTCCAGTTTTTATTTTCATCCAGATTAAGCTGCTGCCAGCGGAGGACAAATGTCCCAATTTACTATAATCTTCCTTTATTCATAGCTACAATTACTAGATACTAGAAGCTAGAGTTCTCCTGTCCAGTTGTTTCTGACTCTAGCAAGTAGTACTCATCTCCGTTTCTTAGCCGAGGGAGCCAGCATTGTCCGAAGACACTTCTGTGGTCATGTTGCTAGCATGACTATACGCTGAGGCGCTTGGAATGCTGTTACCTTCCCACCGAAGTGGTACCTATTTATCTATTCACATTTGCATACTTTCAAACTGGAGAAGATGGGGCAAGTAATGGGAGCTCACCCTGTCGCGCAGCGCTTAGGTCTCAAACCCAGGCTGTCGGCTTTCCAACTGACAAGCCTAGTGATTAATGAGTATAATAGCTTAATATGAATATCAAGATTGATATTTATATCATTCTTCTATATTAAGCTTACCTCTAGTAGCCAGTCGAAAAGTTGAAATCCCTTAGTCTAGCCTTTCTCAATTGGGTGCTTTCCTGTTTGACTAGATTATTCCCACCATTTCCATCCACCAAAATCCTGTTCCATCCTGACAAGGTATGATGAGAATTTTAGTCTGACACATTTGGTGGATACCAGATTGTCAGAAGCAATATGCTTCTATCTATCACTTTGCTAAGTATTAAAAGTTTGATAGCCATTATGTTTTATAAGGTAGTTTTATTTTCTTCAACAAAAACATCAATGTCTCAAAGGTGCTTTTTTTTTGAAAGGCAATTGGACTATGTTTTTTTCCTTGAGGAAGAATAAGACATATTTCTTCTCATCCAAGAAACGTCATCAGGTTTGGCTGGATGGTGGGGAGAATGGAAGGATGCCTTTTGAAAAAAAAAAGCACCTTTGAGACAACAATGATCTGGATGACTGATAATCTACATAGAAATATGGAGGCAATTAAAAAAAATGTTGGTGAGATTTCTGCAGTCAAGATAAAGACAAACAAAAACAGGCATCATCCAGGATAAAACCTTTGTTAGCGTGAAACTGCATATAAATTTATATTGCTAAATAAATAAAATGTATTGAAATTACTAGGATTAAATATAAATAGGATGGTTGGAAAACTCAAGATGTACAGTGAGCTCAGTCACATAACAAAGATTGCATTAAAGGGAACTGCTGATAACAATCCAGGAATGTGAACTAGCTTTATAATTGAACTTAACTAATTGGATAGTTTGTTATTATGTAATATTGGAAAGAACCAGTTAAAGGCCTAAGCATACGTTTCTTATGCTTAGTTGGTTATTCATACCAACTTTCCCATTGACTCAAAACCATCTTCCACTATTATAAGCTTGTGAGAGCTGTCAGAAGGGAACTGTCTATACCCTTGTTAACTTTAGAATACATGCTTGTCTTAGGTGCTATAATTCTTATAATTCTAGATATCTTAATATGTGTACAATTCTGGAAAAACTCTTTAGTAGAAGGAGGAAAATCACTACTACATATTCTACCGATCAGTGATGTCTTTCTGTTTTCACACATTTTAGATTTGTACATTTTACGTTTAGATATTAACAGTCCATATAAAATAAATATTAAAACACAATTAAATTGTATGATTTCTGCATAATTAAGCACATTTCCATCACTGCTTTAAATAGATTTTATAAAACATTTAATTATGTTTTGGCTTATTTTGGTAAATGAAATCAATAGAATTGGATTTTGTGGGTCTACTCTAATCGAGATATATCTGGTTTTCATCTTGAGTGCTTAGCTACAGTTCTTTCTGTATAAAACCATAACCTGGTGTCATTAAAACTTTTTTTTTATTTATCTCAAGTTTTCTGTTGATCCAATAACTGATTAGTTTTCGATTCCTATAGATACTTGTTTACAAGGCAGCTGTAAACAGTTTCCTTTATAAAATATACATGTTTAACTCAAGTTATTTTTTTATGCCATTCAGGATTAATAATTTTTGATTCTTATTTACTTTAGGACAAATAATGGCCATTTCACGTTTTTTTTTTAATCCTGTTGGCCCAAATGTCTGTTTTTGATTTGATTTGTTATAATTAGAACTAACTTTGCATGTAAAAAAACCACATTTTTTTACCAAAAGATTATGGGAATCTTTAAATACCTGAAGGATAGGTCACTTGTGTTTTTAAGTTTCATACATATCATTAAAATAGCAATTCAGTGTTGAAACTAAGGAGGAAAATCCTAGAGAAAAATCTTTCTTTTACGGACAGATTTTTCCAGCCTTAGTGTTTCTGAACAAAGGAAATGTGAGATCAACGCATTTCAATGAAATACCAGTTTCTAATTTGTGGAAAAAGGAGTCTTTCTTTTAAGATGGTGACCTGGAATATTCTTTAGAGTTGTTATGGTGGACAGTATTAACCATGCCTTCCTAATAATGTTGTCTAGAGTTTCAGACTGCAATATATAATTAAAGATGGGCAATTCAAGCTATGCCATGTGCTACTTTAAAAAAAAAACAAAAAACCCCAAGGTCATCAGACAGAGTGAGGGAGAATGTGGAATGGAAAAAAAATATATGGGGGGGATTCTAAACTAAAAGGAAATTCATTGTCATCAGAAAGATTTACAGCTGAATAATTATGGCTCTCCAGTTCTGCTGTGTTAGGTACACTCAACCGTAGTATCTCTAGAACTGACATCATCTAAGGATATCCCTTAAGTGCAGATTTCTTTTCCCCCTTAAGCAAGGGTTTGCTCAAGATTCATGAGAAACTACAGGAAGGTGCAAAGAGCCATTTATTTAAAAGTGACCTATAGTACTGCTTGTTACATACCTGCATTAGAAAGGGCATTTAGGACCAATTTTGTGATGTAAAGCAAACGATGAATAACTAAAGTTGTTTTCTTTTAGGTTTCTCCTTATAGAATGGCTGGGTCACAGATCATCCCTCAAGCTTTATTTCTGAGCAACATGCTGAAAGCTGTGAAGATAAGAGAACTGATGTCGGAAGACCTTCTCAAGTGCAACAATGGAATTATCCAGCATTTTAAAACTATGCATAGATACACCATAGAGATGTTCAGAATGTGTCATTTTTGCCCGCCTTTTCAGAAGATTCTTCAAAAATCTCTAGTTGACCAAGCAACCCAAAACTCACTGGAACGCCAAAAGAAGTTAAACTGGTGTCGAGAAGTTAAAAAACTTATGCCACTGAAGACTAATGGTAAGTCAGGTTCATCGTATAACTGTAATTTGAAATTATTCTGACAGGGTAAATGTAACACGTGCGGTATTTTCAACTCCGTCTCCCCAAATGCTAGCTCGCTATTCGTATAGTTGGTCCGATGCATATGAAGGGTACCAGTTGAGTCAGTGGCTGACTGACACCATTTACTATAATTATTCCAGCAATGGACCTTGAATGATCCCTGTTTAAATGAAAGTACATTTTTTAAAAAACATAAATGAGCTGTTTTCTCTTTTTAAAAATGAAATGTATGTCTAATATAAAATGGACTCCCAAGATTAAGTTATATTAATTTCTTAGAAATCCAGTATGATACTCAAAATCATAGGTTTCTTGGAGCCACAGGTAGCCTGAGTTTCCTCACAGTCATGCCAAATATAAACAAAAGGTGCTTGAATGCTAATTTACAGTCGTTTCTTCCATTGTTGTTCATGGTGCCATCCAGAGCTGTTCAGTTTTAATAAGGAGATGGATTAATTGAAAAGAATTTATCTGTGGGCAAAAATATTAGATAATCCCTTCTGTGTAGTAATACAAATATCAGATCAATGCTTTGTCAGAAAGCTTTATTGGTGTTCTCATATCTTTCTCAGTTTCAGTGTTTCCACTATAATCTCTCTAAACTTTAGCTGTATGTCCAATTAAATGGCTGAAACATTACATAGGAAGTAGTTTGAGCTACAGAGTATTTGAAAGGTATATGCACAAATAAATATAGGAAACAGAATTTGTATTTTGTTCACCTAGCTTCATGTTTGCATTTCCTAAAATGTCTATAATCACAATTTTTGTCCCAAAATTATCTTGCGGTTGTTGACTTATCCAGCTCTTCAGTATAGTCTTAACAGAGGATTAGGATCCTTCATGGGACTGTGAAGTTTTTATAAATGAATTGGTCACCTTTTATTAATACTGTGTCTTGTGATGAATTTAGAAAAAGAATTTTAAAAAGGTTCATTTTTAGGTAGAGTGCTAGAACTGGCAGATTCATCTCAAAAAAGGCAAATCTCTTTTCATTCAGCTACAGAAATCTTTCTGTCACTTGTCTACATTCCTCCAGTTTTTTGCATTGAAAGTTTTATTCAATGAGTTGTGCATTGCAGGCTTTGCAGAGTGTAGGTGAGGTATCAAAACAGCTAAGATGAAGGCCATTTGTCTATTAGACAAATCTAGTCCTCTTGGTTGGAAAAGTGGAACTTGTAGTCCACATTTGGAGAGAATTAACCTAGGAATGGCTACCATGGGCATTTTCAGATCTTCTGACCATTGGCAGACCCTATGCCGCACATCAGAAGCAAAAAATATTGCATTGACTGGGCATATTTCAGTGTATCTGGAATGTGGAATATTGAGAAGGCACATAATAGGGCATCAGAAGATACCTGAGGACTCCGAGCATATGAAGGATTCTATACAGACATGAACATTTATTTTCTTCCCTGTGGAGATAATGACAGGATTTGTAAAAGCAGTTTGTGCATTGTCAGTATAACCATAAGTTGTCATTCTTACAGGACAATATGCATTTTAGAGGAAACTATTCATTTTAAGAACAAGAAAATAAATGCACCTATAGTTGTAGTAAAGTTAATTTTAATAAAAGAAGTGCAAATATTAAATGCAGTTGTAGAAATGGGGGGGGCACTACAAATGCCTCACATACGTTTGTTAATCTAAAAGACAATGACTGAAGGAAAGCCTGTCATTTGAAAAGATTCCAACATCTACTAACTAGTAATTTCGCTTCTCTAATGAATAGGCATTCCAGCATAACCTAACCACACCCACTTGGAAAGTCCAGTGTGCACTTCACAATTCAAATGTCTGTACATCAGAACAAGAAGTACAATAGCTGTTACTCAATTACTAGTCAAATATCTTAACACTGGGGAATTCCAAATGTTGCTTAGGGAATTTTGGACTGAGTGGTTCTCAATAAAGAACTGAAAACAAGCATACACAGGGAAAAAACGTCTTATCTTTGCTCTAGATTTTGCACAGGGAATTTTTTTTAAAGGATGTAATAATAATTGTCCTACCTCTATGCCATGTTTTTCTGCTTGCAGAGCCAGAAACCTGTAAATCATCATTTCATGTCATTCATCTGTTGTTCTTTTCTTCTGCTCTTGTATTTAAAACCTTTTATATAGTTACTGAAAAAAAAACAAGCTTAGTAAGCCTACTGCACCATGGGAAATGCCTTTCCTAAATTGTCCTAAGTTGAACAAGAGGGGAAGGGAAAACAACAACAACAGACTAACTAGGTTCTTGAAAAAGCTGAGATATTAGTTTACTTACTACTGAACATACTACTTTAAAAATGGTTATAAATCTCTTATTATCTATCCTATAATAGGAAGAAATACAGAATGACACTTACGATCTGTTACAGTATAGTTGTAACAAACTAAGCAGACATTAAAAAGTATGCAAAAATTAATTTTCAAATCTTGATAAAATACAGATAAAGCAAGGAGCTGTAATATTTTAAAATAAATTAATACTTGGAAAGCTAATGCTCGCATCAGCATCTAAATTCACTTTGGCCTGATAATGCAGATGAATAGCTGCATTATAACTGCCTGCCTGTCCCACCATATGTGCTTATTACCAGGATTCTATGTACATCAAAGGAAATAGCAAGGGATCTGTTACAATTTGCTGCACACTATAGCATCCCATTAGAGCAACTTAATCAATAATGTCATTACATATACTGATATGCTTTTATTTATATTTTGTAATGTATATTTGGATATCTTGTTTATTTTCCTGTAGGAGATGGAAATTGTCTCATGCACGCTGCTTCCCAGTATATGTGGGGTGTCCAAGATGTTGACCTGCTTCTGAGAAAAACGTTATTTAATGTACTTAAAGAAGCCGATACACGCAATTTTAAACTGCGCTGGCAGCGAGAAACACTTAAATCACAGGAATTTGTGGCAACAGGACTCTGCTTTGATACCAGGGTAAAGTAATCCAGTTTATGTAAGGGAATAATGTTTGAAATCGTGATATCATTGGTTTGTGATTCCTTGTGGTAATTACACATGATGGGATGCAATTAAGAAAGTAAAATTGTGGAGCCATCCACCAGTTAAAACGTTTTAATCCTATAACTTTACTGGATTGCTCAATTCATTAACAAAGAGTTTCACTATTGCGGAATTTCCAGAGCAAGCAACCTCCCCCAATTTGGGTTATTTCCATGGACCACCCACATCTTTTGAAGTTGGTGTTCGTCTGTTTTTCCTATTATGGAGATATACACCATTAACAGCAGTAGTAAAAATAAGAAATGAAAAGAGTTATATATATATATATATATATATTTAATTCCTGCCTCCTGGGAATATGTAGGATGGTCATAACCTATTCCACCACAGAGTCTCTGCCAGCTGAATATTTCATCCTGTTTTCAGCTTCACTCTGCAGATTGCTGATAGTTATCCATACAAATCTTCCTAAGAATATCTATCCACTTTCTCTCATTTATCACTAGTTTACCTAACTAGAAGCAGTAACTTAGATGAGCCATCCAATCCTCCCCCAGGAGACAGAATGATGTTCAGTCCTGAATTGGCAGCCTTATAAGTAGTCACTAGTCTGGTTACTTTTTTCACTGGAAATTAATATAGAAGTGCCAAGTGCTGTTTCTGTCTGTGGATGGGCTCCAAAAGGAGTAGTCCTAGATTTTTTTTAAAAAAATACATGTTTTGCTAATCAGGTCCCTTTCCTAATAGCTGAAATATCTTGATCCAAGCAACAGGAGAACATCATGCCTATATTCACCTTTTGCCCAGACTGTTGCGAGCTGGTACCCTCATGTACCATGACACATTTCTTCACCCTCATTTCATGCTGGTACATAGGATAGCTATGGGGTAAACACGTTCATCCTGTTGGGACTTAGAATGTAAAATAAGATAGCGTGTAGGAATGCTATTAAAAATAATAAAACCAATGACGGAGTCATGTTTAGAACTGATTTCCAGAAGAATGATTGGGAAGAAGAGTAAAAATGACCACCTTAATCAGAGCTCAATACTGCATTTATCAATACTTCAATCTTTCAGCATGTTGTACTATAAAATACATTGATTTCTAGCAGAAGAAAAACATTTAAGTGTATTTCTGGTGTGCAAGGGCTTGAGCATTGCATGATAATTCCTGATGCATCTTATTTTTCTACATTAGAACTGGGATGATGAATGGGACAATCTTATTAAAATGGCATCTGCAGAAACATCAGTTGCACACACAGGCCTTCAGTATACCTCTCTGGAAGAAATCCATATATTCGTCCTTGCTAATATCTTAAGGCGCCCCATCATAGTTGTTGCAGGTAAGAATTGATGGACATAATAGCAATACTTCTAAGACCCCATTTTATGAGCTCATACTTGTCTATATGTGTTATCATCCCGCCACGTAATAATTGCCTAAGAAGGACAATTAGTATTTCATAATTTGATCCCAATTCTTCCATCTTTCCCAATATTCATTCATTAAGGGATCAACTATAAATCTTCCCTCTGTTCCACATTCATTTATTGTGCAGATGTAATTTGGTACAATGTGCAATCAAGGTTCTAGAGCAGGGTTGCCAGAGGTGGCTCCCAGTCTCCTTTTCTCCAACTTTAGGAATCCTCTTTGGGTTTTTTTTTTTTTTTTAAAAAAACCAAGCATGGCTTTCTACAGAAGACATTACAATTGTTATATATCTGTTCTAAACTAGGCATAAAAAAAATCCTGCCCACCTACCCAGTCATTTACAATATTACTTTACTCACTTTCCAGCCTTCATTCTCCCCAAATCAACTAGTGTTAAGTTGTCGTCACATTGAGTTGTTTATGTACTGATGAATCTTTAGAAATTAAAATAGAAGAGCCTAATATTAACTCAACCCATTTGTCTTTTCTTAACGCTAAACAGATAAAATGCTCAGAAGTCTGCAGTCAGGTTCCAGCTTTTCCCCTCTGAATGTTGGTGGAATATATCTGCCTCTCCATTGGTCAGCAGAGGACTGTTACCGATATCCTATCATTCTTGCTTACGACAGTATGCACTTCACTCCTTTGCTTGTTCTGAAAGATAGCGGGCCAGGTATGCATTTGAACATTACCAGTCTATATTACGCTGCTATTTTCCTATTCCCTCTGCCTTCCGAGCTGACAGCCACAAACCTATTTTGAATTGTTAGAGTCACTTTAGATAAATTATTTACCTTGTTAAAAATTCCCGATATTTTTTAATCACTTGCTTATACTTAATTAATGCCATTACTAGATTTTTGTTTACATCATTGGTTGTTTTGATAAAGATTGGCAAAGATTGATCTATTAGTGACGTTTGCCGCAATGCACTCTTCTCTACCTTATTTGACTTATTCCCTTTTTCTTATTTCTTTCTACAGAAATCAGGGCAGTTCCTTTAGTCAGTTGCGAAAGAGGAAGATTTGAAGACTTAAAAGTGCATTTTTTAACTGACGCTGAAGAAAGGGAGAAAGAAAAACTGATGAGAGACTACCTAATGGTGATTGAAATTCCTGTACAAGGATGGGACCCAGGGACAACACATCTCATTCATGCTGCAAAGTTAGTATAAGTCTTGTCCATTTCCAGCCTTATTATTTGATAATCTTTTTTGAAGTATTGTAAGTACCCTCTTCAAAGATGTATAGTGTTAATGTTAAGCAAAACATACATGTTAATTCAGGAAGCTACAAAAAATAGTGAACATAAATCCTGCTCCTGATCTTCAATCAGGAACTGGTAGATTATTTTTTTATAGGTATTGTGTACAGCAGGGGTGTCAAACTGCCGGCCCGCGGGCCAAATGCGTCACACGGAAGCCGCGCCCACCCCATTGTCAGCAATGGCAAAACCGTCCCGATACGTTGTGCAACCTCACTTGACGTTGCGAGTTTGACATGTCTCGTCTACAGCTTTTTTGTTGCTCCTCTTCCTGTAAAAATGGCAGTCCAAGATGAAAACTATCTTAGTCTTTTACTCTCTGAAATTCATCTATCTGAGGGGCAATAAGGATATGCATATACTATTCCTTTCTTTTTCCCTTGTGTATGAGGGTACGCATGGGGGGGGGAGTCAAGGAAAAGTGTGACTAGTCTTTCATTCTTATTATTGATTGAGTCTATATGCCCAGCCATCATGCTTACCTGCAAGAATTCCTTACCACTAATGAAAAAAAATGGTTCATTCATACCAATGTATACATAGAGAGCAAACCTTTTGTAAAATGAGATGTGGATCTACTCTTTGTTCAGATATCAGTATGCAAAGAGGGCCATATATAAAGACAAGGAAGTACCACTGCTACAGTGGGGGGGGGGAGAGAGACATAGCGGCAGCATAAAATATTTGAACGGCAAACTCTGTTCCCTGTTCATGTTCTTTTAACTATATGAGACATTTCTAAGCATCTCTAATCAATCACTGTCATGGCTAAGCAGTAAGTTCAATTAAGGTTTACCTTACGGAAGTTTAGTGCCATTCACTACCATGTTACATTCAGTAAACCATAATGCTCCTCAGATTACCATGATTAGATTGTTGAATGCCTCTTTTCTGTTAGCCTTCTGGAATGACATGAAATAACTTGGAAATTGGAACAAGTATGAGCAGAATTTTTTTTTAAATGCAAATCAACTGGTCCACAAGCAGATCAAAAGCTTTAATTTGTATTTAATTCCTGGAGTGCAGCTAAGAGTTCCATGAGAAGCATGTCCATATGCCCTCCAAAGAATATTGCCCCCCAGCAAGATAGGTAATAGCAATTTAAAGTGACCTGCATGTTGATTAAAACAGCAGTACCATCGCCTTGTCCAGAGTCCACTGTGTCTGCAACGTTTTTATAACTGCATATTTGCTTCGGTGAAATAAATCACTCCTGTTCCTACAACTGTATTAAATTAAATGTCCTGAATAGTATATTATTGTAGATCAGACAGAAAAAGTATCCTGATGTGGGCTCAGCTGCCTTTTATCTGATCGTTCCCTTGACTATGTCTCTGCCCCTTGTCCCAAGGTCATTCCCACATATCATTAAAATTGTATTGCACAAAGCATTGCAGAAATCAAGACTATGGAATATTCTGTGGAATAAATAAACCATAACAAAGGTATTTTGAACCAGAAAAAGGGGCCATAGTTGGTATTCCAGCTAAGCTAGTCTTCCAATTACTTTCTTTTGTTGTAATATTTAGAATTATTTTTAGACAAAACTATGTTGTGATGAGAAGTCATATTGTTCCATAGGAAAGAAATCTAATTGGAGTGAAAAGTGGAGGACCATAAGCCACTAGGCCAAGGGTCTTCAAACCTGGCCCTTTTATGACTTAAGGACTTCAACTCCCAGAATTCCTCAGCTAAGCATGCTGGCTGAGGAATTCTGGGAGTTGAAGTCCACAAGTCATTAAAGGGCCAGGTTTGAAGACCTGTGCCCTAGACCTTACAGTTTGGTCCATGATGTAATTAGGAAGGAATGTTCTTAGCATGCTAAAAGAGGGTATTAAATGTCATTGTCAACTCTTTCCGCAAGTATGCATGAAACTGTTCCACATAATTTCATCTTTTTTTAAAAAAAAAATTCGCTTCCTTCCATAACATATTATTAGTGTAGGTTTTCAGTTATAATGCTATACTTGTTTATGTAAATCACAGGTCTTCCAACTTTCAGTTTCCTTCTAGCTTCTATAAGATCCTTGCCTTTTCTCCCTCCAGTGATATCAATTCCTTGTCCCTTTGCTTTTCAAGGTTGGACGAAGGTAACTTGCCCAAAGAGATTAATCTGGTGGAAGATTACTTTCAGCTGGTACAACATGAGTACAAGCGGTGGAAAGAAAACAGTGAATTTAGTGGGAAGGAAACAGCTGCGAGAAACAGGCTGGAGCTGCAGTTATCCCAGCTATCGCTTATGGAGGCAAAATGTGAAACTCCCAACTGTCCTTTCTACATGTCTGTGAATACCCAGCCATTCTGCCATGAGTGCTCTGAACAGAGACAAAGGGCAAATTTGGTAAAGAGGCAGCATTTCTGGTCCGGCTCAGAAAAGCCCCGGGTAAATAGGTCCAGTTACCCAAAGGATGAGCACCACCAGCCTCCTGCCTGGACCTTGGAGAATTCTAGCACAGAATCTCGTTCAGCACCCCCCACAGCTCCAAGTCTTTTTCTATACAGTGAAACAACGGCCATGAAATGCAGGACCCCAGGCTGCCCTTTTACACTGAATGTGCAATATAACGGGCTTTGTGAACGTTGCTACAGCTGTACAGAGATCAATCCTTGCAATAATCCAAGCGACCCACAGCATTCAAATTGTGTGACTTGCACATCCTGCCTTAAGGACACCAACAGAACCTTCAATGGGATGTGTAGCGCTTGCTTCAAACGGACTAGAGACCCTTCCTCAAATGCCAGCTCTGGCGGTTTGCCTTCAAGCCATCAGAGGTCCTCTTCTGATCCTATTCCTGTATCACAAAGTTTTTTGCAGCATTCCTGTCACACAGCAACCAACAGCAATAAGGTGGACGTGCCACCGTATGTTCAGCCCCAAAGAACGGAACCGAGGACGAGTAACAATAAATGCAGGAAGCGTGGCTGTAATTTTTTTGGGACTTTGCAGAATGAAGGCTTTTGTACCCTGTGTTATTTTGAATATCAAGAAAATAGAGGCAAGTAAGAGAATATCATTTGGTTCTATCTTCCTCTTCCTTAATGAGTTGGGAGGGACTAAATTTTGAATTTGCAAGAGAACATCAGATAAATGCAAATGGAGTATAACAAAATAGCCTTTTGACTAAGACCGAGTGTAGTACATAGCTCTGAAGCCTTTGAAGTGTTGTATTGTGCACATGCAGCCAAGGGTAGAATTTGCTCATCTTGCATTGGTCATTTACCATAATGTTAAAAATTCCAGGGCTGTTTTCCTATTTTGCTGAGATACACAGAACAGCCCTAACTACATCTGTTTATTGTATTAGAGATCATTTTTGTTACTGGGGAACTTTAGATTTTCTGACTTCATCTGGAATTGAAATTCGTAGCAATTGTTAAGTTTAGTAGGTATAAATAGTAGAATATTTTACAGTATAGTAAAAGTAGAAAGTTGATATCTGTTTTTCCTCATGTATCTCATTGCTATAAAAAATGTCACCAGCTACTTAAGCAGTTACCAAAAAAGGCCCAGGGAGTTTTTAAAAATACCCTTCCTAAATTATATGCCTCAGCTTTTCTTCTGAATATGTCCTCAGAATTTACATTAGAGTGATTGTTTTTTTCCTGTTCTCCTTTTATTACAGAGGCTCCCCTGCTTCATCAGCGAAGGTCTCCTGTGACTTCTCCTGTTTTTGAGCATCCTGGGGTCTCAGCTGCTGTCTATCAGAATACCATTTCCTGTCCGGGTCGAGAATGTGTCACAATAGGGAGCACCATGCTTGAGGGATACTGCCAGAAATGTTTTATTGAAGCACAGAGCAAGCGGCTCTACGAAGCCAGAAGAACGGAAGACAAAGTAGTGAGACAATCAGAGGTTAGCGTGCAAATGCAACTCATTCTTCCCAATGTAATCTTGTACCTATCTTCCCAGACAGTCTATATATGATTCCATGAAAGAATCAGCAAAATATTGCCTTCTACTGAATTTACGTGTTCATTGTAGAGGATTCTGGAAGATGATGTGGTATGATAAATGTTTGCCCACTTCTTGGAAAGGAGAAAGAAAGCTTTCTGCTTCTGTTCTTAGCACAAATATTGTTTGATAGAGGTTTCAAAGGGTCATTTTGATATTGCAACATCCCAGTAGTCAGTAGATCGATGGAGATTAGATCATAATAACATGGATAAGGAAGTAGTTATTTGCAGAGGGAGGAGAGGGAAGCTGATGTTTACCACAACTAGGAAATTCACGTTTTACATTAGCCACATGCCAAGTTAATCTGTTTTACATGCAGGCAGTTCACTCATTCTCTATGTTGTAGTCAGTACAGTTTTCAAGAAAATCAAGTATACTTCTTTTTCTTTTTAAATAAACGATTAAAAAATATTCAGCTTCTACGTAAATTTTGTTAAGTATTCTTTTATCCATGGTAGTTAATGAGGTCTAACGTAAAAGCAGCAAGTTTATTGAAGGGGAGACCTTTAACTGCTTTCCATTTAAAAGATGCTTTTAATGTTTTCAGCAAACGGGACAACATCAAGATTTACACCAGAAAACTACACACTCTCAAAAACGGAAATGTGCTAAAGCTTCATGTAGAAATAACTTAGCTTCTAGGAGTGCGGAGGTGTGTCAGGAGTGCTTGCGTGTCAGCCAACGGGGACAGTCCGGAACACCTCCGGTTGAACCTCCAGCCGACGAAGTTCCCAAACAGCTTTGCCGAGCCCCTGCCTGTGATCACTATGGTAATAACAAGTGCAATGGCTATTGCAACGAATGCTATCAGTTCAAACAAATATATGGATAGCAATGCCCTTTTTTTTTTTGCCTTGCAAAAGAAAAAAAAGAATGGTGCTATGTTCAAAACACTTAATTGTCTTGCTATCCACCTGATCTTCAGTCTGGTGAAAAAAGGTGGTTTTGGAGGGAAAACAATAAGCTGATTTTTGTGTGTGTGTGCATATGTAGATATGTAGATACACATATGTATGAATCTGCAGAACTGTGCAGGTTCAAAACATTAATCCTGGGATAGAAAAGCAGATTGCTTCCAGCACCAATGGTGATTGGCAAGACATTTTATACTTGACTACAAAACCCCTTCTTTCCAAAATGTTTTGGATTATGCTCGGTATTGGAATATTTACTTGTATGAGGAAAAAGGATAACGCTGCTTGTTGCATGCTTTTTTCTAATATGTCTCTTGCATTCTGTCTAAATTGTGAGCATTCTGAGTATAATGAAACCAGCCAAAAAACTGAAATGAACCGTTTTTCTATAACAGTCATCAGAATTGTGTGTCTGATTGCTCTGAAAATATTGATGTGGTAGAGCTAAGATTGAACAAAATATTAGGAAGTTGTGGGAGAACTTTTTACAATTTTTGCTTGCTTGTTCTTTTTTTTTTAATTGTTGGCTCCTGCTACATCTGTTTTATATAGGGTTTTGGTTTTTTTTGCAGTGTTTCCAAATAAAAGTTTTATGCACGTAGAGCACCTATAAACCTATACAGTTTGCCCTTGGAATGCTGACTGATGTTTTTCCATTTACTATTCTGTGCAGTTTGAATGAGGGTGTAGTTGCTAAACCTCTTGTGATTTAGAATGTGAAAGAACATAGGTACTTTTAAGTATAACATTTGAGAAGGGCAAGGGGGGGGCAGAGGGAGAACATGGGAAAAATAAGAATTCCTTAATAAAGATATTCATGTATATTGATTGACCTGAAAGCAGACTGACAGATTAGAAAGAGCCTAGTCTATGTTTACTTGAGAAAAAAAATCCAACGGTGACTGTTCTGTATTGTGGATCAGGGGTCCCCAACCCCTGGTCCGTGGACCAGCGTCGGTCCGCAACATGCTAGAAACCGGGCCGCGCAAACAGGCAAAGCCCAATCCATGGGATGCAGACAGCACCTGAAACTACTCCCCCTCCGGTCTCCATAGAACCGGTCCCTGGTGCCCAAAAGGTTGATATAACAAAGATGCTTTCTCTTCATGTCTGGCTTCTACTATTTGATGAAAAGTTTGCTGAACTGTCACAATCCTTTCAGAATTTACTAAAAATTAAGGATGATTTTCTGTGGGTCACTGTGTCCTTACAGTTAAGTCTTAACTTCTGGACTATAAGACTCCCAAAGAAGATAGGCTTGGGTTTTTTGTTTCTGCTTTTTCACATTCACACATCCCTACAATCCTCAGTTGTATTTGACTGCTGATATATCTAATAGTGAGGAAAAAGTAGGCTTTGTGTTGTTTGTAAGGTGGCCACTCCTGTGAAATACTATTTATTTCCACAATGCAAGCGTGCAATTTTGGACCATTATCTCCCATATCTGCATATTATTCTCAGCTAAGCACCAAACAAGAAAATATTTGGAGCTCTGCCACTTAAATCTTCCATTTTTCCTAAGATTCTCGTGCCTTCTCTTGTTTTCTTTCTCTAAATATGGCGGGGATGGGGTGTGGGAAGGAGGGAAACATGTATGCCAAATGCTTGCATTTTGTATGTGTATGTAATCTCCATTATGGGAAACACTGCTACTGTCTCAGTCCTTTGCTGTTGAAATTTCTTTGTGTGATTTTGTGAGCTTTGTAAAATGTGAAGGCATATTTAAATATTTATGTTATTTCAAAAAAAAATGTAATTTTGAAATTTGCACATTGCCAATACAATAATTTGCTCCTTATTATCATTCTCATTTTCCTTTAAAAAAAAATCCTTCTTGTTAATACAGATGGGAAGACAATGAAGGGAAATCCAGCAGCCAAAATAAATTATTTAAAGATTTGTTTAATTGTACTCTTGTGATTGTTTGAAAACATCCCTTGTGCGGGGGGGGGGGGTGTTCATAGATGTGAAGAGCTATCTTTGGCATTTCCTTTTTCCTGAACTTCATCACTGTTTCCTTGCCACCTACTTGTTTCCTTACAAATGTCATTCCTCACAGTTTCTTCAGCAGTTCAACTACTAGCTTTAGGTCCATGGATGCTCTACTCTATACCATTTCTTAGCAGCTTTGCCTTCCTCATCTTTTTCTGCTTCTGAAATAGTTCTGAAACTACTTCTACTCCATAGTACTTCCCCTCCCCCCACTATACCACTTGCTTTCCAGAAAGGGAATTATTTGCTGTTCTCCTTACCAAATTTGGGTCTTTGTCTCCTAGTAAAGACACAGAGATGTCTATGAAGACCAGTGATGCGCTTTCTTGTAATAAATAATATCAGTTGAAGTTCTATTGCACCTCTTCCTTCCAATTATACTCTTCAGCACAGATAATTAAAAAGGATGTAGCCTTCTCTCATCACATATTTTTTAGGGACAACTATCTTTTTCCCAGTTTAGGAGATCTGAATGTATTTTCGTTAGCAATATTCACGGTTCTAATTTAACATTAAATTTTAAAAATCGCATATAAGGAAATTTCATTTTACATTTTACATGGTTTTGTGATTCTACATTTCCCAAAGTAACAATCAGCCTATATATGCCTTTTCTACCCAAATTATTACCTCTGTATTCCATTTTCATCTGTTCCAGGGGTCTTCAAACTTGGCCTTTTTATGACTTGTGGACTTCAGCTCCCAGAATTCCTCAGCCAGGCATACTATTCAGTACCAACTGATAAGTTATCTCAGCTGCTGTCATTGTATCTGATCTCCTAGCCTTATTTTTAATTCACATAGTAATTAACAACAATGCTATCAACATTACTAATTCTATTATTTTTGAGCCTACACTAATTCTCTCCTTTTCCAGCCTATTTGGTCTTTTCTAATGTGGTTCAGAAGCCCTACTTAAGTATGTTGACAGCAAGAAAAGGAAGCAAATGAAGAATTCAGTCTGAAAATTAATTTTCATGGCCAGCATATTATAAAATTATAATTTTTGTAATTATAATTCTCAAAGGCAAAACCACAACAAAACTGTGTGTTGTATTTGCAGTTAAAAATTTATTTCTCTTGACATCTGGTTTCTTGGAGGAAAGGAGGTTAAGGTTGCTAAAAAGGAGAGATCAACAACTAGACTTAAACCAGACACAGCAGTAGAGGAAATGATAACTTTTTTATTTGTAGACTCAGAAGGGAGCAGTGCTAGAGCATCGGTTTTAAGAACAGTTCCATTAGGACAAACATTTTCTCCTTTAGCTTGTATTTCTTGCAGTTTAGTTTCTGGCAGAATTCTAATTTCAGGATGGAAACCAGGTTTATGCCTGTTCATTGCCCTCAATAAGTGTCTTGCACTCCTGAAAACTGGCATGTGGTTAAAAGAAACTGATGTACAAAACTAGTAAGTGGTTAAAAGACAACATTTGACAGTAATAAAACCAGAAACTTCCTCCCTCTCTTCCTTTTCTCTATCACCATCTCTTTTTAAAATATTTAATAAATGTGGAGTCCTTGGTGTTCTCTAAGTTTGGTTGTTTGTTTGCAGATATTGGGTGTTGGTTGCTAGAGAAGATTGTGGGTGGTTTTGTTTCCTCCTTAGCTTTTTGTCTTTATCACATTTGAATGGGGTGTAAATGGTTTATCTCTATGTGTCTGTTCTACATGACTATGTGTCTATTCATCAGTCGGCAGCCAGATAAACAAGGATTAACATCAAATAAAAAACCAAGCAGAAAACAATATCCTAATCAAGGAACTACAAAGAAGAAACTCTCATCCCCACCAACTTTTGCAGGGCAAGCTATTGTACAGTATATAAACAGGAAGCAAATCCCATATTCACTTACACTGATAATGTTACCTAGTTGGGTACTGAAACGTCTGCAAGCAAACAACCAGGCTCAGAGATCACCAAAGTTTAATCCTGAGCTACAAAGATGATCTTCTACTGTAATACACATCTCTCTATTACTGTTAAGCCATTCTTAAACATTACAAAAATGTGATGGATCTCTGGTATGGAGTTTCCTTGGAGATCCTAATCTTGATGGTACCCAACACTGAGATCTGTTCAGTGGTTGATGCTTCAAACCATTAAAGCTGAATTCCTAGTTATGGATATTTTGTAATTGTAATAGTAGTAAAGTTGGAAGGGACCTTGGAGGTCATCTAGTCCAACCCCCTGCTCAGGCAGGAAACCCTACACCATTTCGGACAAATGGCTGTCCAGTCTCTTCTTAAAAACTTCCAGTGTTAGAGCGTTTACTGCTTCTGGAGGCAGGCTGTTCCACTGATTAATTGTTCTCACTGTCAGGAAGTTTTTACAACCACATGAGGATCCTAAAGAAGAAGTATTTTTGTCCCCTATTATTTGTTCATTATTTTTGTTCATCTGTTCATTATTCTTAGAGGGAGTGTCTAAGAATTAAAAAAAAGCTATTGAAAGCAAAGGAATGAGCAAGGCATACAAATAAAGCCAATAGTTTGCTGTAAAGCAGAATGCCTTGAAAATCAGCCTGCTAGTTGCTTGCCTGGTGAAATTAAATTCTCTCTTTGTAGTTTTCTTCCATGCCCAGTTATCTCTTCCCATCCCCTCATCTGCAATCATTGTTTTCCTTCCTTCCTTCCTTCCTTCCTTCCTTCCTTCCTTCCTTCCTTCCTCCCTTCCTTGATAAAAGAGAGTTGTATGCCACATGATTTCTAATGGTTCTCCCCTCACTCCATCTCATCCCTTTCTTAGCTACTTTTGTTTGTTTTTTCTGTTTCTGCTGGAAAGAAGGTTGGAAATTGTGCCTGTAAGTAGGTATACTTCCATGGATAATAATGGATAACAATGATTTGAATGTCAAAGAGAATGG